TACTTCTCCGGGATGACGGCCTGCTTGCTCCACTGCATGAAGGCGTAGGGCCGGTTCAGGGCCAGGTAGGTTGGGTCCTCCAGGCCCTCGGGCAGCTTGTCCACCACATAGGTGGGGATCTCGTACATGAGGTCGTCCGGCTTCCCAGAGTGCAGCAGCCGCGTGTAGCCGCCCATCTGGCAGAAGAGAGGAGGAGGTGGGGGGTAAGAGCAGTGGAATCAATATACAATGCCACGGCTGGCTACTTGTTCTCACCCGTCGGGCCGGGTCCGGGGCCCCGCAAGTGGGATCGGCAGTGGGCTTGGCAAAGCCATGCCACTTAGAAACCCTCTTGAGAGGAAGGAAAGGGGGGTTGCATGGCCACCCGGATCCCTTCTCCTTCAGCGGGGGGCAATGTGCATGACGCTACCTCCCGTCTGTCTCACGTGGCATATGGGCAGCTTGGCACACGCCCGCTTTGCCTTCTTGTAGTGGTAGTAATTGATGCGCATCTGCCAGTGCACGGATTGGCCTTGCGCAGAAACCACAACATGGTAGCTCCGGTCCACGCCAGCGAGCGCCTGCCAGGTGGCCCCCCCGGGGGGGGGGGGGGGGGGGGGAGTTGGAGTGGAGAATGGACACTTCACCCAGGACCCAGGACGCAGCGCATGCAACAACGCTGTCGGGGATCGGGGGTGCCACAGTACCCTGACTCACAGGGTCGTCGGCTGGGGCCTCAGGAGGTCCGACCGTCAACCCCGAAATCGTCCCAACGTCAGGCCCTGAGTTCACGGGCATGTCCCAGGGTCGGGGCTTTGCGAAGGGGTGTGGAGGGATGGGGGATGAGATAGTCACAGAGGAGAGCAGAGTTGCTGTTTGTCTGATTCCGAGGTGGCTCGGCAGGCTGCGGTCTCTGATAATGATTGTCCTCGCATGGCGCAGGCTGCCGCACTTCGCAGCGACCTCAGCCGCCGCATAGGAGCAGCAATGGGAGGCTGTATGCACCCTGCCCCCACACACCACAAGCTACCTGATAGAAGAGCGTGCACTCCCGAGGCGTGCAGTTGGGATGGGTGCCGTCGCAGTACACCCAGGCTGCCATGGGTGCAGGGAGGGCGAGGGCTTGACAGCCAGGGCGGCAACGGTTGGACAGTGCACCTCCAGGATGGGGCTGCCCCGCCCGATCCCATGCTGCCACGCCCCTCCTCCCGCTCACCATTGCACACGGTCTCCTGGTGATCCCCGCTGGGCTGGTACTGCAGGCATGCTGAGCAACAGTCTGCTGTGGTGTTGACCAGGTGCTCGCTCCCCGCCAGCAGCATCTCGCCATACCGCCTGCGGATCTCACGAGGGCCGACAAGTTCCATCGCAATGAGTCTGCTGTGAGGCCCCAACTCATTCTGGCAGATACAGATGCTGATGGCCAGCACAACATCTCCCGATGCCAGCGTCGACATGGCAAACCTTGTGGCTGGTCTTGAGGGTGGGGTCCATTGCCTAGCTTTTCCACACGACCCCACCGCTGCCGCGGAATTGACGAGCCTTACCTCGTGTTGCGACGAGCCCAGCATGTGCCTTCCATGTACATCTGACCATGCAGCCCATCTGCCTCCAGGTGGTACGCAGTGTCTATGGGGACGCGCTTCTTTGCCCGCCCAGCCTTGGCCTTGCGCTCGTTTCCTGGGGTGGCAGCCCCCAAGACTTTGGGGACGGAGGGATCGGAGGGTGGAGGAGGAGCAGAAGCGTCAGGCTGGACAGTTGGAGGGGGGGGGAGTGGGGGAGGAGGCACCACCTCGGGCGGTGGGAGGGCAGGCGGGGGAGGGGAACCCCCTGCGGCGCCAGCCTCAGCGGGTGGAGGAGAGGCAGCACCTCCCTGTGCGGCAGGCAATGCGTCAGCCGTGGCATCGACCAGCAAGGGCACTCCTGCGGCTTCTGCGCCTGCGGGAAGTCGTGATCACGGATGAAGCCCGGGTGCGGGGGCTGAGCAGGGCCGGCACATCCACCCCAGCAGTGCCTGACTCGCGGTCCAGCCACACGCACGCACCCGCGTCGCTGCCCGCAAGCTGTCGACTTGTTTGTAGTATGTGTATGCTGCCATGCACCCGTGCAGTCGCCAGTATGAGCGTCACGCACGACATCAGCACCAGGGTGAGGAGGGCGCGTCCGAGCATGGTGCAGGAGCCCTTGGGCTTGGGCATGGGCTGTCGATCAGCCGCACCGACCTTCTGGGTTGCTGGGACCGTCATGCATCCCTAGATCCATCGCAATGCATGCATGCGCGAGGCGTCGTGGCTCAACTACGTGTGGTGGAGCCCCCGGCCTGCGCGGCAGTTGCGCGGCTGGCAGTTGCCCTTTCTCACCCCCACTCATCGAGACCCTGGGGGCCGCGGTCGGGTCTCACACCAGCGTCTGCCAGCTCAGCATGTGCACCCACACTCAGGCAGTCGCAAATGTTTTCCCATCCCAGAATTGTTTGGCAACCCCGGTGGCTGAGTAATCGTCCCAGTCCGGAATGATGCTGGACGCCTCATTGATGGCGTGGATGAGGTGCCGCACCTAGGCATTGAGTGGAGGTTGGGGGTTGGGATGGGGTGCTGAGTGAGTGTGTGTGTGTGTGTGTGTGTGCGTGTGTGTGTGTGTGCGTGTGTGTGTGTGTGTGTCGTAACAGTGGGCACCCAGGCCTGCGGCCCTGCATGCACGAGCATGGCCAAGCGTCCAGTGCTTCACGCCCGACCATCCCACCCACCAGGTCATTCTTCATGCCCTCTGGCGGCTCGCCCAGGTTGCGCGGCGGGGGTCTCAAGCTGTACGCCCGTTTATCGAAGCGCCACTCCCCGATCTTGCCTGCAAGCATGGGAGGGCAGAGTGCGCGGCATCGGGCGGACAGGTTGCCAGGGGCTGCGCTGCTGGCGCTCGAGTGGAGACCGAGCCGCGTCGGCTCCCTTGCCCCCTCGCACATCGTTCCCGACCTGTACATTCGCAGCCTTCCCGGCCCGGGAGCCGGCCAGTGCGTGCACCCTTTGAGGAGTTCGCCCCCCCATCTTTCCCCCCTTGCTCCTCACGCGAGGGTGCTCACCCGGCGTGAACACCCCCTCCTTGGTGTAGTCCATCCCGTAGGTGTAGTGCAGGATGTAGTAGGGATCCATGCTGGAGTCCCACGGCGGCTGGGACGTCATCTGCGCAGGGAGCGTGCAGGGGGCGAGTCTGGAGCTGCCACCTCGGCTCCCACCGGCCGGCTGGCTCGATGGGGCGGGGTGTGCAGAGGGGCGGGGGCTTGATGCTCAGAGACCGAGTCGCGCGGTGCATCGTGCCTGCGCCCACCCTCGCGCAGCGACCCCCACCACTCCACACGGCCCCCTTGCCTTGAGGAAGAGTGAGATGTCACGGATGCCGGCCTTGTAGCAAGAGAGGGTGAACGCATACATCTCCTGCACCCAGCCCCATGCCTGAGCCGGTGCGGGGCGGTGGGGCGAGGTGTGTGGGTCTGGGCCCGGCAGCGGGGAGGGGCTGGGCGGGTGTCCCCCACCATCCCACCGCGGCCCCGCCCGCGCCCGGGGCTGACCCAAGAGGCCTGCTCGCGGGCCAGCGCCGCCTGTCAGACGCGCACCGGCGCGCACGGCCCAAGCCCCGCACCTTGCTGGCCGCCTCGTCGTTGTGCACGGCGATGGAGATGTTGAACCATATGGGCATGACGTTCTTCATGTCCGCCACCGACATGAAGGTCGGTGCGTTCCCTGCGGATCGCGCCGGGGCCAGGGGCCGGGCTGGGCGGCAGGGCTGGGCCGGCGGGAGCATCTGACAGAGCGGGAGGGGGCCGCCCCTGGGCCGCCCCCCGACACACCCGACCCCAGGCTCTGTGGCGGCATGCGCTGCCCCGCACCGCCCCCCCCAGGACCCCAGAAAGAGGTGCCCGCGCCGCCTGTCGCCGTGCCTGCCACTCACCAATGGGCGCGATCTCCTCCGCCTCCACGCGGCTGATGGGGCCCACGAACTTCTGGACGATGGGCAGGAACTCCTTCTTCGAGGGCTCGATGTAGAAGAAGGGGAAGGCCGCGGGCCTGAGTAGGCATGCCCAGGAGCGTGGGGTGTTTGAGAGGCGAGCGCCGCGATGCCCCGGGGCAACGCACCCCGGCGCAGTCTCATTCACCGCCATGCAAGAGGCGCTGCAGACATGCTGCCGCCAGGCATCAGGCCGGGCGGGCTCCCGGGACCGGACGGCGTGCGGCCCGAGCCCTCGGCACGGGAAGACCCCCTCCTGGTCAGAGCTGCCCCCAGGGCAGCTCAGCAACACTCAGCCGCCCACCCCCTCCGACTCACGTCGTCCCCGTCATCAGGTTGGGCATGGGCTTGAGCCAGACATGGTCGGGCTCGCTCATGAGCACATACTTCTCCGGGATCACGGCGCCCTTGATCCACTGGAGCAGGGCGTAGGGCCGGTTCAGGACCACATACCTGGGTTGGGTGGGGAGGGGCGAGGAGGGGGGGGGGGATGTTGGGTGCCCTGCTCCGTGGTAATCAGCGCGGGCTGCAGTGACCCAGCTGGAGTGGAAAGGCCAGAGTCCCCCCTCACCCCCTCCTAGGCTGGATGGCATGCTCACCCATGGTCGGGGTGCTCGGGCGGCAGGGGCTGGGCGACCCAGGTGGGGATCTCGGCCATGAGGTCGTCCTCCTTCCCGGAGTGCAGCAGCCGGGTGAACCCCCCCATCTGCGGGGGGGGAATGGTGGGCGGGCGTGGCGCGCTGCGGGACCACATGGCGTTCTTCATTGGCCCCCGCGCCTCGGCCCGAGGCGCCTGGCCCCCCCAAGCGGGCCCCTGCCTGGGTGGCGGGGGACGACCTGAGGCCGCCGCCAGCGCTGCCATTCCTCGTCCAGGCCCTCGTGCTCTCATCTCTGGCGGCATGCTCGGCACAATAACCCCTCCCTCGCTCACCCCCAACACCCGCCTGCTGCCGTGTTACAAGAGCGCCCCCACTTTCCCAACCCCAGCAACCCTCCCCCCCCCCCGGCGCGCGCGCGCGTCGCACTTGCCGGCTGCCTGGCAGTCGCGCTTGGTCTTGAGGAACCAGTAGTAGCCCACGCGCGACTGCCAGTGCACCGCAGACCCCTGGGCGGTGATGACCGTGTGGTACCTGCGGTCGTCGTCGGCAGGGACCTGCGGCGGCGGCAGAGGGGGCTTGGGGTGACCGGAAAAAAACCCTCGATGATGGGGGGGCGGCGCGCGTCCAGCAGGACCCCCTGCACAGCCTGCCTGACACACATGCTCGCCCATGCCCACCGCGCCGCCCTCACCCTCCGCCCTTTCACCAATCATACGCCGGCCGCCTCACCTGAGCCGCTCTGGTCTGACGAGGCCGGGTGATGAAGCCCGACGTCCAGCCCACGTTGGGTCCCTTCTTGGACGGCTCCACTGCAGTGGGGTGTGCCTGGGGCGAGGGAGGGGGGAACCGTGTTGGGATGCTCAGCGGGCAGGCACGGACGCGCCATGGCGTGCACGGGCGCTGGGCTCTTGGCGACGCTCACCAGGTGCTTGAGCCAGCAGGCCTTGTGGTCCTTGCCACACAGTCCAGCATCCTCGCAGTACACCCAGACTGTGAGGGCAGAGAAGGTGGAGCCGTGAACAGGGTTTTCGAGCGGGCAAGGGGAGATTCGGGTGGGGTGTGCCCGTGCTCCCCCAAAGGGACACCAGAGTTCTGAGGCCAGCGATGCATTCCAAGTGGTGGACGGCGATGGCCCACCCTCGCCGCACATCCGCCAACCCAGGCACACTCCCTGAGCGTCCCTCTCGCGCCCCACTCGCGCCCCACCATTGCAGCCGAGCATGTCCTGCTCGGCGGTGGGCTTGTAGGCGGCACACGCGGCACAACACTTCCCGGCAGACTCCAGCACATTGCTCGAGCCCTCAACCAGGACATCCCCCCAGGAGCTGCGGCAGGGTGTACGAGTGCCTCGTTATGATGCCAGCAGCCGTCCTGTCCAGCACTGCCTCGCTTTTACCCTCCCACCCACCCCACCCCACCCCCCGGGACAGGCATTGATGACGAGCAGGCAGCCCCGCCACTCACTCCGTGTTGGGCCTGGGATTGGCACACACGCTCGTCAGATCCAGATTGGTGTCGACCTTCGCAGTAGATGCCCTGCTAGTGCCTGGCAGAGCATTTCTGGGAGGCCTGATGCTCGGGGGGGATGCCTCTGTTCAGGTGGGGAGAGGGCCAGTTGGGTAACGACGGAATGATCTCGCTCTGGAAGCCACGACGCGCGACTGATTGCCGTGCAACTCAGCACGAGATTGCATTTTCAACAGCCAGTCCACAGATGCAAAGCCCGCGTTCCCACTTGAGGGGTTGAGACTGCCATCTGCCGGCTCACGCTGCGCCGCGGATCCCGCGAGCTCCGACAAGCGGCCAACAGAGAATATGGAGTAGGTCAATGTGACCGCCAGCAGGGTGAGAATGATCAGAACCCTCCGGCGTGACGAAGACAATGTTTGCTCCAGCCACATCGTGCCCCTGTCCTGCCCTACAAGGCACAAAGCCGCATGTCCCTCGACAGTGATTGCCAGGGGTACAACGCCCGCAATATGCTCAAGTGTGTTTGGAGGGCGACCTGCGCACGGAAAATTAGCGAGGTGGAGCATAGTCCGCATAGTTCCGGACGACAAACGGAAGCCCGTCCAAGAATTGGCGCCTCCAAGCGCCATTCTCACGAACTCGCTCACATTGGACAATTCAACCCTGTTGCATTTTCACATTGTGACTTGTCCATACTGTGACAAGGAACTAAAAAGCATTTACACTTTTGCTGACTATTTTATGTGGAGATAATGGCATGTGACTCTGTGTGTTCTCTGGTGTGCGCCACGAGAAGCCGCACACCTCTGCACTCTGAACACAATTGGAACAGCTTGCCACTGATTTACTCAACACCCACCAATACTGGTACCATTAAGCGGGCTTAGAGGGCTAACGGAGTACCACTTTCTATGAGGGCAGGTCTAAGTGTGAACATTTGACAGAACATTTGACAGTACACGTGTTTCAATCATGTCGTCCCCTCGATCAGCTATTCCCCTGACTCTGGAGGCTTGAGGTGACACCTTCATACCATCAGGTAAGTGGAAGCTCAGTCCAGGATCCCACGTGGAAACCGAAATTTGACAGGAGGGCCTAGTCCATCCGCCTGGCACACGCGTGCGCGACCATGCCCTCTTGGCAAGCAGCCTCACCTCCGATCGGTTCTCCTGGCACACATGCCCATCACGGGATAACTCCAGCTCTGTGTAACATCAAAAAATTGAAAGTTGTTCGATGGAAAGTCGTCGGTTAGCTGCGCCCAGCAAGAGCGGCATGACTTGCTGTGGATCGCTTCGAATGTTATCCCATACTCGCGCCATTCATGGCTGTGGCTTCAGCATACACTAGGGTCTCCATGGGGCATCCGCACTTTCGCGCTTAAAACACTGGCGGGTCGTGAGATCTCTGCTAGTACAACAAGACCCGAAACTGGATCTGCGCGCGGTTTTGCCCAAGAGTCCGTGACCGGATTTCCTTTCTGGGATTCTGCCACCGAAATCCCGCCACTGTCGTCGACCGAATCTGCGGGCTTGCCTAGCTCGTGTGCCCCATTCCGGGCTCGGTAAACCCACGGGGGCCTGAAATTACCCATTATAAGTGGTGACGCGGAGAGGGAGCGCCGAAAACCCCTTCCCAGGGGGTTTGCGATAACCCCTAGGCGTCGCGCAACCCTGCGCTGGCGGGGACGTGACTGTGGATGAGCCGCGCCGGACGCTGAAGGCACCCCGATCAGGTCCTGAAGGCTCCCGGCAGCTGCAATTTCAGCAGTTTGACCTCCACCACAGCGACCTGTGGCAGCACTCGGGCCCTGCGCCGCACGCACCCGGCTCGGGGTGCCCCGCCCAGCGGAGCCCATGTCGACGATTCTGCGCCAGTGGTGGCAGAACAAGACCATGGAGCTGACGTGAGTGGGCAGGAGCGTGGGATGGCGGGGGATTGGCCTGCAAACCGCCTCGCATGCCTGCCGTTCGTCCAGGCCCTGACCCTCCCGTGGGCTGCCAGCCCAACCCTCCCCAACCTGACCCCGGGCCGGGATCCGCTGACTCAGCACCGCCCTCATCCCCCCCCCCAGCAAAACCCGGCGTGCCAGCCCCAGCAGCCCCGGGACCTCGACCTCCGGCCCCCCCACCCCCCCTCCCCTCGAGTACATTCCCCCCATCCCCGGCCTCCTCCACTACCGCCAGATGGGCGGGCTGGGCACGGGGGCCTTCGGCCGTGTGATCCTGGCGCGGGACACGCGCGACAACGCGCTGGTGGCCATCAAGCTCCTCCCCCGCGGCGACTTCATCGCCACCTTCAAGACCTACGTCATGCGGGAGATCATGCACCAGGGCTCGCTCTGGCACCCCCATGTCGTCGCGCTGCGGGAGGTGTTCACCACGCCGCAGTACCTGGCCATCGCCATGGAGTACGCGGCGGGGGGGGACCTCTTCCGCCACCTGCGCCACGAGCGCCCCGCCCAGCGCCTGCCCGAGGCAGAGGCGCGCCGCGTCTTCCAGCAGCTCGTCATCGGCCTGGACTACTGCCACACCAGGGTGGGCGCACGCGGAGGAGGGGGGCCCTGAATTTGTCAGGAGGGCCAAGGAACCGTGGCCGGCAGGACGAGGGGCGGACAGATGCCGCTGGGCGGGTGCGGGCCCTGCACCACTCCCCCTGCCCCGCAGACTCACCCACAAAGCGCCTCCCCCATCCCGTCCCAGGGCGTCGCAAACAGGGACCTGAAATTGGAGAACCTGCTCCTGTCCACGCCCTATGGGAACGGGGCGGCACCCAGCCTGAAGATCTGTGATTTTGGGTACTCCAAGGTCAGTTGGCCTGGAGAGGAGGCTGGGAGGGGATGGGGAAGTGAGCGGGCGGCCGGGCGCCCTGAAGCCTGCTGTCGCCCAGGCGGCCAGCGCCACCTGCCCTTGTGCGCAACGGTCACACAAGGCCACTGTCAAATGGAACAGTGTTGCCCCCTTCTCGATACTGCAGCATGAGCTGAACTCCAGTGCCAAGACCGGGGTGGGGACGCCCATCTACATGGCACCCGAGGTCATCTACGGCGGCAGCAAGTACAATGCCAAGGTGGGCGGCACAGGGGCAGCGGGTCGGCCGTTTTCTTGCTTGCCTTTGCCCTGTTCCCAATGGATCCCCTCCACCATAGCCTGAGAGGGTCGGTGCCAGAGACACCGCTTGATCGCATCCCTGCTGTGCTCCCTTGCACACCCTCCCTTTCCCCCCACTGCGTGCAGCTGGCGGATCTCTGGTCTGTGGGTGTCATCCTGTATACGATGCTTTTCGGGCAGTATCCCTTTGCCGCGGCGCAGCCCAACGACTGCGAGTATGCGCGCAAGATCATCAAGGCAGAGGTTGGTGTGGTTGGGGCGCGTCGGAGGTGGGGCCGCTGGTCGTGCTGGGGAGGAGTGTGGGGCCAGTGGGGCTGTCGCCAGCCGGGCGCAGCACCTCTTTCCTGCATGTGGGCGTGCAGGTCCGGGGGCTTGAGCAGCGCAACCCCTCCCACCTCCACCCTGCGCTGGCACGCCGCGACGCCGGCACCCGCTGCCCCTCCGCAGTACGATGTGCCGCCGAGCGTCCCTGCCTCGGCGGACGTCCTGGATCTCCTGGCGCGGCTGCTGGTGGCGGACCCGCGGCAGCGCATCCCCATCGCCGAGATCATGCAGCACCCCTGGTTCCTCCGCGACCTCCCCCTCGGGGCGGCCGACATGAACAGGTTCTATCTGGACCGCGCTCCCGTCCTCCACCCGGTGAGGCCTGCAGATGAGCTTCCGAGTTGCAAGCTGGGATGGGGGTTGGCGCGCATATGCAAAGCTGGAAGCATGGGTGGTGGCTGTGGGAGAGCGCGTGCTCAGTTGGGCAATCCCTCTCGGGTGGGCGACGGCGATTCCATCCGTCCTCACAAGGGCCACTTGCGCTGCCCTCCAGCTCATATCGCTCCACTTGCTCTCCCTCCCTCACTTACAACCTACATGCCCTCACCTTGTCCCCCCCCCGCCCCCCCCCCGGCGGGCCTCCCATGCTCCCTGCAGCTCGAAAAGGACATCGAGCAGATGGTGGACGTGGCCTCCGGCCCCGTGTCGGCGCAGGAGGCCCCGCTGGCCTGCTCCTTCGACGGCGTGCGGCTGCTCAGCATCCAGATGAGCCAGGGCGGCGCGTCGCTGGGCATGCTGGGCTCCTCCCAGCATGGATACCTGTCCAGCACCTCCTCGGCGCGCATGCAGAGCACCCTGGGGTACTACGGCGCGCAGCCCAACGCCTCGCTCATGGTGCCCTGACGCGCCGTGGCGGGCCGATTGGAACTGGAAAGCACATCCTGAGCGAGGCACACCGCCGCGGCTGGCTGGTGGCCCTGGAGCAAGGCTTGCCACCATGGCAGGCTGATCAGGGTCCAGGTAGAATGCCGTGCCCTGCAATGGCCCCCCACTCCCCTCCCACCCCCTCCACGGAGTCGGCCCGGAGGCCCTCCCACCACCCTCTCATCATGGCACCATTGCTTCTCAGCTTGCTCTTCCCAGTGTACAAACTTTTCACTCCTTGGCCTCTACTCTGCCTGCCGTCGCAAAGCCTGGGACTTCTTGGCCGCCGACGGTCACAGACCTGGTCCCTTGTCACTGTACACTTCTCTTCTTCCAGCCTGCCTGCTGGGAGGGGGGGGGCTCCTTGCCCCGCGCTTGCTTTCATTGCGTACCAAGGATCTCTCCCCCCCTATTAACCTTTGTGTGGCTAACTTGCTGTCCCATGCCGTTGTGCCAGGTTGAATTGCCATGAATTTACTGGACAAATGGAGCAACACCGGAGGGGCCGAGCCTCCCAAAGCGTCCAATGCAAGTCTTTCTTCTGTAAGCAGGCATATTCGACAGGGCGCACCCTCGGCAAGGTGGTCATCCGAGGCAGTTTACAAGAGAGGGATGGGGCCAGACACTAGATCTTGAGGCCCAGGTAGCCCAGGAGGGCCACACCGATGAGGCCCGCCGCCACTGTCGCCCAGCGAGCGGCATCGAAACTGGCGCCGCTGGTCTGCGAGGCATTGGGAGAGGTGGGTTTTGGCGGTGAGGGTGGGCAGGAATGAGGGCGACACACGCAGCAAAGGGTGGCCCTGCGGACAGCCTCAACAAAAGGGGGGGGGAGCAGCCTGTCAGGGCATGCGCCTGCATGCAAGGAGGTCCCTGTCCCCGAACCTCCACCGTGGCCCCCCCTGCACCCACCGCTCCAGACTCGGGGTCGAAACGCACAAAGCGGCGCCGGGGCGCATTGCACTGGGGGCACACATAGTCGCTGGGCAGGTCCTCCCAGGGCGTGGCGTCGCAGTAGATGTAGCCTGGTGTAGGGAGGCAGGGGAGGAGCGATGAGACCCTGGACTGGATCTGGGGTCAGGGCAAGCATGCGTGGGCATCTCCAGTATATGTGACAACCATGCCTGACATTGCCCGGCCACCCCTGCATGCCCTAATATGAACATACTGATAACTTCAAACTCCCCCCACCCCACCCCCCAGGTCCCCCTCCAGTTCCCCGCGTCTGTCCTGCACCCCTCTACACAGCATTCTCACCGCAGTCCAGGCAGATGTGGGTGGCCCTCTCCTTCTCCGTGGCGCTCAGCCGGCGCCCGAAGCGGGGGGGCGCGCTCTTCTTGACCAGGCGCTTGACGTCCACGCTGGTGTTTTCCCCCTTGACCAACACCAGGGTGATGGGAGATGGGGCCGCCTGGATGGCCGAGCGTGCAAAGCTCTGTTGAGAGGTTGAGCGGGTGGG